CGATCTCGGAGTGATTACTTTGGCGCAGAACAGAGCGCGATTGCCCTGTTCACATATGCCAATCGAACCGCGCTAACTGGGCAAACGAGATACGTTCCGAAACAAAAGTGTAGGTGTAAAAGCACCCTAATATGATAAAATTCTCAAACTGTGGTGCGTGTTCCACAAGTGTTACGCGGGCTTCCTTCTAGTGGTATGCAGAGGAATTAAATATGTCAATGTGTACATGCCACAAATATTTCAAAATTTATAAAAAATTATTTATATATGAATATGACATAATAATATTCATTATACGACAAATAGCCTATATTTCTGAGGTCCATGCAACATTTTCAGGTGTTGATAAATTGGCTACTATATGTTAATACTTTACATTTATGTACAGCACTTTTCTCTTTACCTTTAGCACATTTTAATTTAAATGTTGACGTTTTGAGTTTGCTTGTTTTTTATTTTTACATATAAGCACAGTACAGTGTTAACATTCAGACTGTTTGAAGTCACTGACAATAATAAAAATTTTTAATGATAGGAATTAATCTGCCACGTTTTTAAACTATGCAGAACTGTAGCTGCTTTACTGGGCTTACTACGCCACTGTATTTCAATACTGCTTATTACAGTGGTACTTGGAGAGACTATTTTTTTTTCTGAGGTGGTACTTGATGAAAAAAGTTTGAGGACCACTGAACTACAACATTAATAAAATGACTTTTTCGGATACCTGTGAGTTCTCGGATTCGCTGCTGTCCACGGCACGTTCTTTCTCGCGGTTGCGGATCTCAGGACTGGCTGCACTGATAAGCATTTTTAGGTTAGAAGTGGGTGTCCAAGGGTCGCTTGAAGGTGCATCTAGGACCTTAGTAGGCGTTGTCAGGGGCCCCATGATTTTAAGGGTCTCCGGTAGAGCAGCTTCAGATGTTGAAGCTTTATTTGAGTTTTTTAGTGGCGTTTGTGGCTCCACAAAAACATGCCCCTGTTATATTGAAAACACATCATGTTGTATAACTATAATCACACTATTCATCAAGTCAATATTTTGCTCACTACAAAATGACCTGTTATGTTAAAATAACTCACCTTGTTATTTGTAGATGTTGCCTTTGATGGACTTAAAGATTTCTTGATTAATGTTTGACCTTCTGATAATGTACTGGACATTTTCCACCTAAACACACAACACATGAGGCAACGTTACGTCAATCAACGTTGACTAACATCATTTGTAACATTTATTACGTTAAACCAGTCCCACCGTTTTTTTACAGCATTATACATTGTTGGAGACAACATTGCGAAGATCAGTGTCGGTTATAAATTTTAACGCTTTGCTAAAAATGTATTTTATAACTCAACAGATGCAAATCAATGCACGTAAATCAATAACAAATATTATGATTTGAAATAAGTGTTTATTATTTTGCGCTTAGCAATAACTGACAAGCGTTCCATCGAATGGCGAAGGAGAACTTGTACGTAAACACGCCCCAAAATGGCAAAAGCCAATGAGAGCGACGCACAGAGGCGGAACCACAGCAGGTCCCGCGCGCCTCCTCACATTTTGAAATCTTGGCGCGGAATCTCGCAGATTGCGAAAGATTTAATCCGGAAGTTACAAACTTTATTACAACTTTGCGTTATGAATTGCTTTCCTAGTTGATTGTCTTGCGTTTTGAACATTTCAACAGCATAATTTGACTGATACAAATATAAGAACCCGCTTGAGAAACAAATCACCGAGTACAAGCATAAGTAGCTTATCTGCTGTTTAAAGCGTTTCAATAAGTCTATAAAACATACTTAGCGCTCAGGTATTAATCATATACATATATACAATCATATTTACCTCATGACTGCGATAATCTTAACTTAGAACACTGCAAAATGAGCGGTTTCACTGAGTTCGCGCGGGTTCAAAGCCAGAGAGCCAAATGCCGCCAGTCTGGTTTGTCCTAAAGTAAAACGAATGAATGAAATAGCAAAAGCATTACAGCTTAAACGTGTGCTTTTGATTAAATTAGCTAACTAGAGCGGATATGTTAAGACAAAAAAGCCTGAAACCGGCTAATTCGTATCTTACAGACTATGTACTTAGTCGTACATTATGTTCCTTCAGTCTCCATAAGAGTAAAACAACAAAACACGACTTAATAGAAAAAGCTAACAGTTACTCACCTTCGAAAAAGACAGAAGTAGGACTCTCACATACTATTCGGCATCTGTCGAACCAATAAAACAGTAAAAGCACCCCAGAGGTAAATATCACACGTATACAGTTCCAGTTCTGCGAGAATATTGCATCCAAACTCTCCTGTAAGTCACATTAAAGTAAACGTGAACAGATAAAAAGAAAAAACAAACTGGTTTCGGTGCATAGCTGAGGAAAAAAGTTTCTATAGCCTTTTCCTAGTGAGTTAAAAAGTTTATTTGATCAGTTTGACCATTTGTCCCGCCTAGATACTGGACACAGCGCGCTTCAACCAGCTCCACCTCAACACGGCTCTCAGCCAATCACAGCCGTAGGATCTTAGACGGGGGCGGGGTTAGACTTCCGGTTGATACTACGACAGTAGGTCATGAGGTAAAAACTCAGTGAACCAAGTTCTTACGTGGTCTTGACTTGTACTCAGCTCAGTACATACAGCTGTTAATCAAGGCTCTCAAAAGAGAGAATTGATTTAATATTAAAGACATTATTGTTGAGTTTTTTTCGCCACATTTTTTTAAATCAGTCCTGGACAATAACACTCTACAAAGAGTTTTCATGTTTTCACGAGCCAAGTATGAACAACAGCATGAATTAATCCTAGTAGAACATTTACTAATGCATTATTAAAATAATTGATTCTTGTTAGCATTCATGTGTTGCGAGTTCACCATAAAACTATTAATTCACAATGAACAACTTTTCATAAATTTTCGCAAATTTTCATTAATATTTTAACAATGATCAATACATTTATTACTGTATTTATTCAATATTAGTGTAATGTGTTAAACGCATTAACTAACATTAATTAATACATTAATACATTAAAACAGCCTAATTGTAAAGTTGTTTGACAATTTACTTCACTGCATTTGTAAGGTAAAAGTCTGATACTTTTATTATTATTATTTTTAAAATAATGGCAAAAGTTTTCAGTTTCTCTATTTTATTTCACCTAATATATATATATATATATATATATATATATATATATATATATATATATATATATATATATATATATATATATATTTATTTTTTTTTTTTTTTTCTAAACTATTCTAAAACTAAAACATTGGTGTTGTGTTGTCTAAATTGAATGTCTAAAACATTTTTGTTTTTTTCATATGAAAAAGCTGTAAATGACTATATAAAAACTGTAAATGTAAAGTCTTATATTTTTTATTTAGGAAGAAATATATTTATATTACTGCTGGGCAAAGATTAATCAAAAAATGCTAAATTGTTTTGGCAAAATATTTGTGTGTAATGTGTATATTTATTATGTGTACAGACATGCATGCATATATTTGAGAATTCTTTTTTTGTAAATATACAATTTGTCCTTCCAGCTGCAACCCAGCATTGGGAAACACCAAAACACACTCATTCACACACATGCACTACGGCCAACTTAGTTCATCCAATTCACCTATAGTTCATTCAATTCAACTGACCCAGCCAGAGCTCGAGCCACCAACCTTGCTGTGAGGCAACAGCGCTAACTACTGAGCCACCGTGTTGCCACAATTTTACTTTTTTTTTTATATAATGACAAAAGTTTATAGTTGTTCTAATTTTATTCCTGTATACATGGTTATTTTATTTCACCAAATATTGTATTTTTTATTTCTAAACTATTCTGAAACTAAAACATTGAAATTGTGTTGTCTAAATTGAATATGTCTGAAACATGGCACCTTTTGTTTATTATGAACAAAAAAAGCTGTTAATAACTTCATATTAAAAGATTAAGCTTTTTAATTTTATTTAGGACGAAATATCATGTATGTTAGTGCTGGGCAAAGATGAATAGCACAAAATACAAGTTTAATTTGACAATATATATGTGTGTACTGTGTGTATTTATTATGTACAATTGAAGTCAGAATTATTAGCCCCCCTTTGAATATATATATATATATATTTTTAATATTTCCCAAATTATGTTAAACAGGGCAAGGACATTTTCACAGTATGTCTGATAATATTTTTTCTTCTGGAGAAAGTCTTATTTGTTTTATTTTGGCTAGACAAACATACATGCATGCATATATTTGAGAATTGTTTTAGTTAAATTTAAATATTCAATTTATTTGTACATAATACAATTTATATTATTATTATTATTATTATTATTTATTATTATTATCAATCATTTTATGCTGGCTATACACACACACACACACACACACTTCTGTATATATGTTAGAATGTTTAATTATTCATTCATTCATTTATTTTCTTTTTGGCTTAGTCCCTTTATTAATCCAGGGTCGCCACAGCGGAATGAGCCGCCAACTAATCCAGCATATGTTTTACACAGCGGATACCCTTCCAGCCACAATCCATCTCTGGGAAATGTTTGATTATTTGTTATGTTAATATTTACTACTAATATCATTTCATAATACAATTATACTCATTTAAAAGATAACCGAATAATTTTCTCGCAACACACTACTTTTGCCTAGCCGACAAATTCTAAACTAATGTATTAATATTTGTATATATCATACATTTTCTTTTATTGTTATTATTGTTTTTTATGTAATCTATAGTATAAAAAAATGAAACAATATACACATTGTCTTCCAGCACCACTGTTTTTCGTTACATTGCCTTTGTCCGCCGCCAGGTGTCAGTGTGCGCATTGGCTGTGTCGGTTTCTATGGAGACGTTCAGCGGTATGAAGCGTCTAGAAAGCACACGAGAGTGTGTGAGTGCGGAATGACGTCATGTGCTGGAGTGAAGCTGCTGTGGCTCCGCGCGTGCACTGCTGCTCCGCATCCCTCAGCGGACGCTCACAGCTCCTGCTCCGGTGAGTTTCCTCCTATTTTACTGTCTGTCGTCTTTAAGTTAGTGTTTGGACTTGAATATGCCTCGTCACATCTCATCTGTAAGTTCGCGGCTCTGAATTATTGTGCGGTGTTACATTTTTATACTCAATCACTTCGGAACCGAAGCATCTCGACTACAATGAAGGAGGGGCTGCATGGCTGAAATATGACTAGTTAAATCAGAAGTCATTGTTTTCATGGATTCGTACAGAAAAAAAAATAATCAGATGAATGTTTTTAAGTGTTTTAAAAATACCTTTTTGGATTGTTATTTGCTTGTCTGTCACTTGCGTGAGCATGTTTTGACAATATCAAAGTTGAACACTTGTGATTGTTTATTTTGGCGAAGAAACTGTATTTAGAACCATTTATGGGACATTTTATTAGCTTTCCCTGAAATTAAAACACCAATACAGTGAATATAAAGTATTTCATGCCAAAAATTTACAATTTAACCTACAGCTTTAATAGTTTTTTTATGCTAAAAACTGTTATAAATACCTCAGAAAAAGCAAGTTTAAGTTGTTATTATTCACATCAATTAATTAAAAACATGAAATTAGCAATACATTCTATAAATAAATACTAATATATAATACAAATAAACTTGCAACGGTCCCCATGTTTCTGTCAGTCCTGTCACATTTGCATTAAATTTAACATAATGTATGCAATACACGATTAAGGCTCGGAAGTGACATCATTTGACGGAGAAGAAGCTGACAGTGATCAAGGGTGCCTTCTTTCATTAAATTGTATGATTTTCTACTTGTTTTTGTATGATTATTTTGAGGACAACAAGCTTAAGTCAGGCCCTGTTACATTTTTTACATGTGAAAATGTAAGTTTCTGGTAGATTGTCCCTTATTTTGGCATAGGAACTGCATTAAAACCATGTGTTTTGCTCATTTGTTTGCTTATGGGATGTTATATGACTTATGTGTAACTTTACTTGTTAGGTCTTTTATCGAAAGTAGTGATCCAACAAAATACATGCATAAAACTCTCATAGCTATCTGACAACATGATTCAATCCTTATGCAGCATTTAGCTTCAATATTAAGTTAATTTAGTTATTTTTCAAGGGATAGTTAACCCAGATATGAACATTTACAGGTAATTAACTCCTTTAGCCATCCAATGTAGTTCTGCAATATACATTAAATAATTTGTAGCTGAAACTGTGGTCATTAGTCAGTTATCTGAGACTTTGACTGTCCAAAAAACTAAAACTGTAGTTAAATCCAGAGAAACAAAATGAATACTGGCCACTGATAATATATAAATAGGGTATTATGAAACCAGTCAGTCATTCGTTATCTTTTATCCTCAGTGAATAATTCTGTAAATGAGTATTATTAATTACAATTTCACAAGTATTTTGCATATTATAAATCACCAATGACCACAGTTTTGTCTAAACATCATAAATATTATAGTTACTAAAGAAAAAAGTTACCCACATTGTGGATGGCCTAAGAATGAATAGATTGACTGCAATTTTTAGTTTTTCATAATCTCTTTTAATAGAAGTAGCCATCTAATTCAGTTGCAATAAACATTAAAGAAGGTTTATAGCTGAAAGTGTGGTCATTGCTGATTCTTTTGGGACAGTCCAAAAAAAAAAAATTTACATTAGAAGCAAAATTAATACCTGTGACTACTGACAATATATTGAGGTCTTTTGAAGCCCCCAAAAACAATAATTTTACAAGTATTTTGGATATTATAAATTACCAAGGACCACAATTTCAACTAAACATCTTTAATATTATACTACAGAAAACGTTACCCAAATATTAGATGGCGTAAAGGTAAATAAATTAACTGCAAATTTTATTTTCTACTAGTTTTACTTTACTTTTACTACTTATTTTGTCATGTTTTTTAATAAAATTAACTAAAATGATCTTTGTCTTGTTTCTCTTTGACCGACATGCACCTGTTCATGCAAAGAAGACAAATCCCCGCTCTGCAAACACTGTCTCTGGGTACTTTTAGAGAGGATTTCTACAAGAATCAACTCTGACGTAAAGCTGCAGGAGGATGACAGTATGCCGTTTGCAGATTCTGGGATCATCATGACTTTGTGAATGCAGAAATGTGTAATTATGAAGTTGGGGTTGCCGGTCCCAGGGGCCCTTCCCCCCTTCCCGATGCCTGTCACAGAGCAGCCGTGCTGGGCTTCATCTAAAGGGATGCACCATGGTGTGAACACGCGTCTGTTCTACTCCAGCCTCAATGAATCGCACGAATGAACGGACATTTCTGTGGCAAAGGGAATTAGCGCGGTCGCATAGGGACTTTGGATTTGGGAATACAGGAACCGGTCGGAGAGCGTTGGATTGTTATTTGAAGAAGTGCTGTGGATACTTCAAGGAGTGTTTCAGGAAGATGTCTGAGTCGGGAGCCGAGGCGTCTGCATCTCAGCCCCAAAAGCGGAAGCCAGTGATTCATGGTCTGGAGGATCAGAAAAAGGTGAGTGCTTTGGGTTGAGATGATTAAAACTGCAGTGTTACCCACAATCAAAAGCCTGTTGTTTTCTTAAATGCCTCAGATTTGTGTTGGCCTCCAAATAGGACTTTTTCAGCTTCTGTTTGCAAACATTTTCAGTTTTATTGTAATGAAAAAGGAGGAACTTGGAACACTTTTACCTTGGCCATGCTGTGCATTATCCGGTGATTTATGGTCAGCTGAGGCCGTGCACGTCCCTTGGCATATGGCCCAATAGCATAGCACCAGGTGCAACGGCCACTTAATTGACTTGTGCTGAGATTTGTGTGTCTGCTTTATGACTGCTTGCACATGCACACGCTGACCGCATAGCTTGTGAGTAATTTGAGATTCTTATAGCAGCGAAGCATAAGAAAAGTGTTGGTGTTGGTGTAATGCCAGGTTCATGTATGGCTATATATTTTTTTGTTTGTTGCGATGTCATTGATTTCATATTTTGTTTATTTATAAAAATTATTTCTATATTATTGTCTTATTGTGAACTATAAACATATCTGACTGCACTTTGCTTCCTGAGCAGTCAGCATTTGCCACCTGCAATGATATACTGTACGTGATGTCATCAAAAAAGTGGCAATGCTGTTGGAAGTGGGTTCTGGCTTCTGGAAACAAGCATAAACAATGGCAGGGCCATTTCTTTGCCTTGCTTTCCTTTATGAAAATCAACTGGCTTTTTTGTAGTAAAAGTCTATAAAACATGTTTTTGGCCCAATAGTTACCATGAATTGATTTTATTTGTGTGCACATGTTATATGAAAATATCTTTTCTCACTTTAAATGGTGAAATGCTGGTGAAGTAGTAATAATAACAATTCAATTCAATTCAACTGTTTATTGTCATGTGCACAGTAAGGAAACACGTCTCCCTGTACAATGAGATTCTTACTTTGCCGTCCACAGTGAAGTCATACACACAACATACACATCATACACAACATACACATAAATACACATATATACACAGAAGTGACTGAAGTATGATTATAAAATGTAAGTATATAAATATCTATGAAAGTAAACAATATATAAACCTGATTTGAGTAATGAAACAGATGTAAACAATGTACACTGTTTTTTTTTTTTTTTTAATTGTGCTCATTATGCAAAAAGTGCCTAGTGCAATTGTCTTATGTGCAAAAAAAATAAAATAGTGCAAAATGGGATGGAGAATGTAGTGCTGTACTGAGCAGAAAAAGAGACTGTTATGTGCGTTGGTTATCTGTTTAGAAGTCTGATAGCTGATGGGAAGAAAGAGTTCTTGAGTCTGGCAGTCCTGCATCTCACACTCCTATACCTCCGCCCTGAGGGTAGGAGTGCGAATAATCCGTGTTGTGGGTGAGTGGGGTCTTTCAGGAATAATAATAATAATAATAATAATAATAATAATACCTTTTATTTATTTATTTATTTATAGGCGCCTTTCAAAGCACTCAAGGACACCTTACAGTATGTCAAAGGCACATTATAAAAAAACAAGACAGAAGAAGAGTAATAAAACATTGTATTAATCCAGAAAACCCTTAAAAGCAATCCTGAACAGAAAGGTTTTAACCTGGGATTAAAATTGGAGATAGAGTCCAAGTGACTCAGATCTAAACTAAACTGAACTTCATTTATTAAATGTATGTATGTATTTATTTATTTATTTATTTATTTATTTATTTATTTTATTCCTCAGTTATATTGAGGGTCATTCTCCTATTTTGTTCTTCATTTAATGTAGGTAAGTTTAAGGAATTCAAGTAATTGTCAATTTTAGTCACATCTCCCCCTGGAGCTCTTGAATATAGGGATTTTATAATATTCTTTAAAAACGTCCTGAATTTCATTTTGTTTGTTTTGGATTTTGAGTCTCTCATTCATTCATTTTCTTGTCGGGAATGAAATAAATGGTGCCATATCAATACAGTTTCACCAGATGCCTTGAATAACTCTATTTGGAAAGTTTCATTGATTCAGATTGATTCCAATAGTGGATTGAATCATGCATAAAATAATAAACAAATTACAAGCAATGTTGCTTTATTACATAGGTCTCAAACTCAATTACTGGAGGGCCACAGCTCTGCACAGTTTTGCTCCAAACTTGATCAAACACAGCTGATCCAACAAATCAAGGTGTTCATGACTCTTTTGAACACCTGAATTATTTGGATTGACTATGTTTGATCAGGGTTGGAGCAAAACTGTGCAGAGCTGTGACCCTCCAGGAATTGAGTTTGAGACCTATGCTTAGTGGTTGTGTCAAACAGTATTCAGGTACAGAAATTGGAAAAATCCAATGTTACAAAACACTGCATCATATAAATAATAAAATGAAATGTGTCTTTATTAAAGTTACAAATGGTGCAATTTCTCATGCCTGAATGCTTTAAACCAGGGGTCTCAAACTCGCGGCCCGCGGGCCATTTGCGGCCCTCAGTGCAATATTTTGTGGCCCGCGCCGACCGCTGTACACTGACAGAATCAGCGGAGCGGGTAGAGAGAGCGCTCCCCGCTCCGCTGATTCTATCCGTACACAGCGGTCACTGGCATTCCCCGCCCACCGTGTAAACAAAGGGGCGGGGATGCCGGTGACGTCACCACGCACCCCGCCCCTTTGTTAGACGCTGTGACGGGCGGGAAGTGTTAGGAGGGAACTCGCGCCGGCCAGAACCAAGGTAAGCTGTTCCCGCCCCTGCCTGCCACTTAGCTACCAATCTGCAGCCTGCCACCTATCTAGCTACAGCCTGCATCTTATATATATTTTAGGTAGATACAGACTGATGTGACTGGAGTGGGGTGGGGGTGTTTTATTTATACATATATACGCCTTTTTTTAGGTGAGGGAATGGAAGTTTTGAGTGAGTTCCCCCACTTTTTTCTGTGTGAGAAGTTATTCTCCACCTAGAACTTCAATAAGTCAAAGTACAGGTCTAGACTTAATGATGATCATCTTCAAGCCATACTGAGGGTCTCAACTGCTTCCGCTCTAAAGCCAAATGTGGTTCAGATTTGTGAGAAGAAGCGCTGTCAAGTCTCTGGCAGCAAGGAGTAGGCAAAAGATGCCATGTTCAGAAGAACTGTTCATAATCTTCACTCAATGTTCTATTAATGTTCAGGACACTTCATGTTCAGAAGAAATAATTAAAACTGTTAATAATGACATTTGAGGACTTTTTTTGTGTGAAATCCCTTATGCGGCCCAGCCTCACCCAGACTTTGCCTCCTGCGGCCCCCAGGTAAATTGAGTTTGAGACCCCTGCTTTAAACTCTCTTGAAATGTTTATACAGTCAGAGACCTCAAAAACGCAGGCAGATTTCTCTCTCTCTCTCTCAAAAAAAAAAAAAACTATGGTCAACTATAAACCTAACTCAACATTGCATATATTGTGATGTGATGTGACTATTGCAGATGTGCACATCGTGATATTGATGCTGAAACTATGTATTATGCAGAGCTACAAAGAACATTTTCAGTTCTTTGTTTAGCTTTTAAAATAGAAGCAGATTATTCACCACAAAGGTTTTTATTATAAAATAAACAGCTTGAAAAGCTTAAAACACTTTAGAGCAGTCATCTCAAAAGCCTTAGCCTACTTTGCATCCGATCCAGGTTTGCCCCTCAGAACGGGCGTATTCTGCTCTAAAGAGCTGAACTAATTGGCTTAGAGATTCCTCAAGGCCCATGTTTCACTTCCGTCTCCGAGAATCTGATTTTACATGTAAGCCGATACCCATTCGCTTGCCTCTCCAAGCATGACATGTTTAGCTTGGTGTAAATCCTACCATGAAGCGAGTAGACGAAGCTTGGGCTTCCTGGTTGCCCAGCCGGATCCTTCAGGGGCATTTTGGTTCCTCGCCCAGACTTAAAGGCTCGTCTTGGAGGACCATTAAAGTATACAGACTCCTTTCAATGACATTTGTGGTGGATGGGCTTCTTTCCGTCATTCTCTTTGGTTTGACTCCATTAGATATGCAAAACTGATCACCTGGGAATCTAGCAGAACATGAATTAATTACAGTCGCAAAAAGCACAGCTGCTGTTCCCCAATTTTTCAGCATGATGAACCCTTGTTAGGATGCTACGCCTTCTAAAATGAACACACAGCATGACAGAAAGAAGATTGTTGGTATGAAGACCAAATTACTAATTGCATATCGAGGAATGTGATGTGAATCAGAAATGTGGTCAATGTGCTTGTGCTAGTGCACATATGACAAAAATGTTACCTCATCCTGATAATGATATACAGTTGAAGTCAAAATTATTAGCCCTCTTTTTAATTATTATTATTTTTTAAATATTTCCCAAATGATGTTTCAGAAAGTCTTATTTGTTTTATTTTGGCTAGAATAAAAGCAGTTTTTATTTAAAAAAATAATAATTTTAAGGTCAGTGTTATTAGCCCTCTTATTTTTTTATTTTTTGATTCTCTAAAGAACAAACCATCGTTATACAGTGACTTGCCTAATTATTCTAACCAGCCTAATTAACCTAGTTAAGCCTTTAAATGTCACTTAGGCTGAATATTAGTATTTATAAACATCTAAAAAATATTATTTAAAATATATTAAGTAAAATATTATTTACTGTCATTATGGCAAAGATAAAAGAAATGAGTTCTTAGAAATGAGTTCTTGAAACTCCAACCCCAGATTAATTGAGGGACAAAGCCGAAAAGAAAATGAACGAATAAATAATAACAATAATATATATATAAAATATGTTTTTATTAAGTGCTTATACATTTTAAAGAATATATTTAGACATTTAAACATTATTATGGGATCATATTTCTCACTTTATTTAGAAACTGAGGGCAGATGTTTTAATGATTTAAAAAAATTATAAATATAAAAAAATAAAATATAAAATGCTTTTCAAAAACAAATGATTGCAGGTCATTAATAAAAACATTTCGCTAGGTAAAATATAAATATTGTACTTTCTTACGTTTCTCTAATCAAATCATGTTGTTACT